ATCACCATTCTAGCGTAGAAAATGTCTCACTCTAAATGGCTCTAAGCTAATGTTTGAGTTGAACTGAAGTATATACTATTGCTACTATGTGTATATAATTTTTAAAAAAATCATGTTAGCACTTAATCTCTGATATTATAAAAACTAAATATAGCCAATTGAGTGATTAGTGTATGAGAACTTACATAATAAAACATGAATAATAAGATAAAAAAAAAGGTAATGGTATTGCCAACAATACTACCAATAGCAAATATAATGTAAAGTTAGCACAAATACTGACCATAAGCAATGAGGTTTTCATATATATATTTTATAATTTATTAAAAAAAATCATATAATCTTATATAATAAAATTGATTTAATACTAAATAATAATATCGTTGTAATAATATCGTTAAAAGGATCATATAATCTTATATATTAAATTTGATTTAATACTAAATAGTAATATCGTTGTATAATATCGTTATTGGAGAAAAAAATTCATGAACCAGTATATTCTTTATGATATATAAGCTATGAACTCTAAATTCTTGTGTATTTTATAGAGCCAAAAAGTTTGAGCGAGAACATTTTGTTTTGATAACAACAAAATCCACTTAACAAATGTGAATAATCCAAATGAGTTATATATCTTATGTACAATACAATTGCTCTACGCAAGTGAGTTATAATAACATTTATCATTCACATCGTTTGGGGTAAGATTTGATAAGGACCTTGCATCAAAGAAAAAAAATTATATTTAGAACACATGGTGGAATATATCATAATTTTCCTATTCTAATTTCGCAAGAAAATAACTCTTCATACTTTCAGTTTTACTTCTATGATGTGGAGAATGAGTTATAAAATTGAATGAGAATATTAGATAATATAAATATAGTGAAATCACAACTAAAAATTAATGTGAATATAAGTCAAACCACAACTAAAAGTTTAATAGACATATTGCAAGTAAATACATATGCAAAATTCCTTTGTAAATTGAATGATCACTCATCTTTTGAAGACTTCAAGATATTAATAAACATAGATGTTGTATTAGATCAATGTGTTTATAACTTAGAAATAGTAGATCACGTAACCACAGTCTGAGTTGAAGGAGACAATGACAATATTTATTAGAGAGAGATTATTAAGTTGATGATCAATCCCACAAAAAACTTTTTTTTTTATTTTTATTGTATTTTTATCAAATTAAATAGTCATGATATTCAATCACGTGCATCGCACATGCATTTCAACTAGTTTAATAAAATGAATGAACATATTTTAATTGATAGCATGCTTGACTTTATTGAGTTGATGATCAACTAGTTTAATAAAATGAACGAACATATTTTAATTGATAGCATGCTTGACTTTATTTCCTTATTCCTGACACTGTGCCCCTGCGGCCGGACGATCTTGGACTCATCCCTATCAACAAGATTGCATGTGAGAAATGACTACATGAAAAAATAGAATGTCCACGTGAATATGTGTAAGAAAATGAAATTTGGCGAGAAGCATGCAAGAAGAGAAAGTCCATACGAGTGTACGCAGGACGAAGCAATCAGCAAGACTACATGAACAAGTGCATAAATACGAGTCAAATCACACGTTCATGTTCAATGAAGTTGTACAAGATTCATCGGGGTTTGTGAAATTTGGGGCGATGTTTCCTTCTGAATTGCAGCAAGACGACTTGCGAATTTGTCAAGAGAGACAATTCTTTGGAAATTTGGAATGGCGACCCATAACCACTTAGAGGTTTAGGAAATCTCAAGATTGGCTGCAAAAAGTATCTACTTGTAGGCAACAAGATCGTTGATGATCGAGTCTTTGATAATGATGAACTTTGTTAAATAAGATGCAACCAACAAGACCTGTCAGAGATAAACAAGGATGCCAATGCTGATGACAATGGGCGATGATAAGGCTGGGTCTAGATAAAGACGACGATATCTAACAGAGAAGATGAGATTTGATCCGACGAAGAAGACAACTAGCAGTTGGGTCTCGAATTCTGATCAAATAGACTCAGTGCTCCAAAAGCAAGATCTGAAGCCAAGGACAACGAGATCTGATGACAGAAAATGACAACTCGAACTGAACGACGAGCGAAGTGGCAAAATGAATGAGATGACAGCAATGTAAGTTGGTTGACAAACGAAAGCAACGACAATGAGACATGTAGTTCATCGGGCCACCGAGGGGAAGAGCTTGCAAAACCTCTCCGCATGAATCTGTGGTTCTAGAAGAAGAGAGATTCTCCAGCTCAGTAGTTTGGCTCTGATACCTCGTAAAATAATCTGGATCTAATCATAATATTCATAATCCACTAGCTTATATAAGAAGAATTACAATCAAATAAGTTGGGATACAAAATCTAGATGTTGAGATACAGAATCTAACAGATGCGGAGCAGTCTTAATGTAACAGTCTTAGATTGTTTAATAGATCAGATTCTCTAACATAGAAGCACAAGCATGATTTAAGGACAAACTCATAAAAACCAACAAAAAACTAGACATACAAATCGAACAAATTGGATTCACCATTCGATCATGCAGGAACAGAGCAAATAAGATCCAAAGTGTCCATGACCCCCCGCCCCCCTCTGTAATAGGAAAATTTATAGGAGGTGTTGGGTGAAGTGTAATTTCCTGTTTCTACCCCCTTAGACCCTATTCTTTCTCAAACCCTGCTCAGTGCTCACTCTTTCTAACACCCCCGGATGCTGGCTGCTCGTAACTCTGCAAGAATATAAAACAATGCTAGCCACTATCAAAACCCCAAATCGAGAATTTGAGATCCAAATGCTTCTTAATACCTTGCTGTGAATTTGTAGTTGATTGGAGTTGCTCTAGGCTCTGGCTTGAATGAAACCTTTAAAAATAAAGAACACGTGCACGCGCACATACCACCTCTGACTCACTCCTAATTAGGTGATCCCACCGGCACGGCCTCGATCAAATTAGCGAAGTAGAACTGAGTACCAATAAAACCCCTCTTCCTCACCGCCCACCCAGCCTTCTTCAGCGCCCTCTCCACATCCTTCTCCGCGTGCAGGTAAGCCCTTCGTGCCTTCGTCGGGCCCGGATAGAGCTCGACCATTTCTTCAACAGCCGTCGTCATACACGTAGTACTGTCCTCGGCTGCCCGGAAAGCTGAAGCAGGCAGCCTTCTCCTCGCCCAGCGACGCCAGCTCACCTGGTGCGCGATCCTATCCCCCTGCCGCTTGCGTCTGCGGTGAGCTGGTAATGTATCGCACGTGCAAGGCCACACCCGAGTGTTGTACCTCCCGTCCAGGCCTCATCCAGAATCCTTCAACTTACGAAACATCGGACATCGCGGCCCCGGCGGGGGGAGGCAGCCGAGAGGCCTCGCCGCTTTGCCTTCCTCCGCCCGGACCATCGCGGACGAGATGTCGCTGGCGGGTGAGACCCGAACCGCCCTCGAGGGGCGAGCCGGGATGGACGAGGGCTGCCTGGCCGACCCAGGCGTCGCAGACGGAGACGCCGGCGCAGGGGCCCCTGTCCTTGAGCATCTCCAGGGTCTTTCCGCGGTTTGAGGTGGCCGAGGACGTGATTCGAGCGTGGACCTTGTGAACGCAGTCGGGTCGACTCGCCCGTAGATCGTTGCAGCCGCGACTGGAAGCCGCGTGTTGCTTTGAAGTAGTGCGGACGACCCTTCCTTCGTCCGTCCGAGGCCGCGAGGGCTGTCGGATTGGCTGCTGGCGGCGGCGGTCGGGGTCGAGAGGGTGATAGCGGCGGCGGCCCGGAGGCGGCCGGGGTGGCGATGCGGAGCGGCGGTGGAGGGTTGAGGAGGCGAGTGATTGTTTTGAATGAGGAGGGGCGGCGACGGGACGGGAGGGTGGGAAAGAGGGAGGGTGAGATAAGACTGCAGAAATTTTTTTTTTGAAAAAAAAAAATTCAACACCTTTTTGGTTTTTGTTTTTGTTTCCCTTATGGTTTCATTCGTGTGTGCGACGGGGAAGAAGGGAGAAAGAGTGGGAGAGGAGATTTCCGATAAGGTTTGGGATTTCATGCGTACCGTCGTCCGTTTCCCCTTTTCTTCTCTCATTAAAAACGGATAAAGATGGTAGACACGTAAAAGTGCTTATTTCACAAACGCCCCTGACCTCTGGCGGATTTTGCATGTAGCCCTCTGAAAAGTTTTTATCCCATAAAACTCTCACAAAACTCCTCTTTTAACACAACTTTTTCTCACTGGACCCTTATCATCTGTAATTTGGGAGTAACTAGAACGTTCTTAAAAGGACAACTCTCAATTTATTCATTTGTAGCTCCCATCAAGTTATTTTTTCTTAGTAATATTTTAGTTATTTATAAATTATACAAGTAAGAATCCAGTGAGAAAAGCATCAAATTTTTAGGGAAGTTCTGTGAGACAAACCAAACTCGGGAAGTTTTATGCGAAAAAAGTTCATGGGAGTTACGTGCAAAACCCCCGAATTCAGGGAGTTACACATGCTAAAAAAACTAACAAACTTATTCTTAATTATAATGAGTAAAAATCTAAAAAAAAAATTCACTTGTAGTCATTTGAGCAGTAAGACGCTAACGGGACTACAAATTGCATACTGCTCGTCGCAGAAAGTCGCAACAATTATGAGTTTATAAGAACCCGACAAATATTTCCACACCAAGATAAGAACTCGCTCAAACTTTCTCACGGAATCTTTTGATAATTTAGGATTACAAAATGGAGGAAACTTGTATAGATTGAGAAAGAACTGAAGTAAAACAATATAAAACTTAAAAACTGCTAATCCATAGGAAGTTGACAAAACTCCATGAGACTACCGGATGAAACATTACTGAAAACGTAGAGACCACCATTCATGGAGACTTTTCTTCCTACTAAAGCGGCCACTGATATAAACAAAAATACAATTACCGAATAAACACTGAACCAACGCCTGCTACCAATAATCACAGGCATCATAACCAAATTTCAGCAAGCAAATAGAACCTAATAGAGGTAAATAATTTTAAGATGAACTAATTGATTAATACCCCTTCCAGAAATATCATGATACCAATTCCGTCTCACTTCTCCTTGTCAATTGCAAATAAAACCTCCACAATGAAATTTATAAGAAGATCCAATAGAATGACTTCAAATAGAAACAGTCACCAGCATCAACAACAATTTTTCCGCCCACCTCAAAAAAGACCAAAAAATAACACAAGGAAATTAGAAGTGAAATATATTTCATTCCCTTCCACCTTGTGAATGTCCGCCAACACCATCCAAATCCTGTCATTTTAGTAAACACAAACAAAGAAAACACCATCAGCCACCATCTCAATTGTTAGAAAAGGAATAGTTATTCAATGAAATAGATATTGTAGACACAAAATTTTGATTGTTTGACATTTTGAATTAAAAAAAGACATATATAAGTAAATCAAAGTATCCCCATGCATATAACATTTATATAACAAATGCAGATTGAGTATACATAAATCCAGCACATAATACTTTCTTCAAATTATTGTCCAAGTTATGTGCTATATTGGTACTTGTCCTATTACCCCAAAACCTTTGTTAATTCTATTATTAGACCCTTGAAACTTCATATTTCTAAATTAGAATCACAAATCTTCATAGTAGTTCGTAATAGGGGTCTTATTTAAAACAAACTAAATCAATTTGTGGTCTTATTAATAACATCTTAATATATTTACGAGTATACTTTAGAATTGATGAATATTTGGGGGTCCAATACAGACTTAACAAAGGTTTTGCGGGTTTAAATGACAAAAATCCTACATGCTTTTTCCATTAGTAAAAACAATTCTCTCAAGGCCGGAATTAGCAAACCTACAAACCATACAAAATAATTCAAGTTGACCTTAAGTACTATGAACAAATCAAGTACTTACTATCTTCTTGAAATAATACCCGCTCCTGCAGACCTGGTAAAGGAATACAAAAACTTTCAGATACTACTAAGGTGAAAAAGTTTGTCCACACCCAAGTAGTCATAATGCCAGTATGAGGGAGAAGATTAGTACCTAGCTTGTTGTTTCCCTCTACTCAATCCCTTGTTCGTTCCATTTCCAGCAGCACTGTGTATTCTAGTTTCCGAAGACAAGCCATTAACTTCCTGCAGATTTTTAGACTTAACCGATACATTCATATCAGATAGCCCTTTAGCTACATTAAAGCCCACACCATTTGACTGCTGAGTACGTTTTGAAATCTGTGAATGTTTGTCAGATGAATCCCCAGTTTTCTGTCGACTGCTCTGTGCAACAGGAGTCAGAGCAACAGAGGGAAACAACAGCGAATAAGGAGCAGATGATGCAGCAGCAGCGACTTTCGCAAAAGCTGTAGTTGCTGATATGATTTCTTGAGCGCCTTCACGCAGGTGTATGTAGTCCCCTTCAATAACAAATAACTGGTCTTGCATAGTCAGTGGATAGTCACGTAAGCAATATTTACATCAATAGAAAGCTTATGCAGGAACATGAAAAACCTACTTCAGGGTGGTGAGCCACAAAATCATCAAGCTTGCCGTAACATTTCTTGTAATCATGCCAGTGAAGAGGTGCAAGCATTTTCGCAAGTCTATTTGGTAGCTGAATGTAACAGATACATTAAAGTCATTAACCCCTCAAGATACTAATTTGTTTAGTTTTGATGTGAACTTTAACAGCCTCACCGTGGTACTGATCCTGATTCGACCTTCAGCTCCAGCTGGAATTGTACGAACAATGCAAGCTAAAAGTGATCTTTCATCTAAAAGAGTAGGTTCCGTTGCCTTTGCGGGTAACATTGGATTTGTTGTTCGTGCTGTAGGGGATGATCTCTCATCTAAGGTTGCCACTTTTTCGTTGCATTCTGCAGTTTCGTTGGAATTTGCTTGCTGACTTGGCACATCGGAAATGTTAGCAATAGAAGCTGACCATTGTTCTTGTTGTTGATCGATAGCAGTGACTGTGATCTGATCCTGCACCTGCAAGGTTGAAAGTTGAAAAAAAAGGTTGAATTAAACACGATACAACCAGATTAGTCTTACCATTGAATCTTAAAGATCGATAAAAACAAGTAAAAGTGTAAAACAAGTGGACATACCATAACCTCACTTTTGTGTTCTGGTGAGGTAAAAACTAGTGTCGGATGAAATGTTGCACTAGCATTTGATGCCTGTTGTGGCTCCTGAGATGCCTGATACTGCTTACTATTTGAGTCTAGCACCTAAGTCAAAAGGTTCAAATGCAAAGCAAGTTTAGTCCACAACTATCTGATTCCATAAGTTGCAAACAATAATACTTTTGCTTACCACCTCTTCTCTGTTGATTCCGTTGATTGCTGGACTAGATCTCTGCTGCTGCTCAATATGAGTGTTTGGGTACTCTGAATGGATTACTTCTCCTTAAAAGATTCTGCTCTGTTTGAGATGATCGATTACTATTCTGATTTGGATTACGTGGGACATCTGGCATTGCCTACAGGTGAACAAAAAGGGGGCTTATCTCCACAGAATAATTGCTACTCCATCAAAAGCCATCATGGTTTAGAAGTTAAACACAAGTGCTACCTGCTGCTGCTGCCAATGTTGGTTAACTGTAGTCATAGGCTGAAAATGTCCGGCATGAGACTGAGGAATTTGTGAATTTGATGATACAGATTGAGGAACACCCTGTGGATGCATAACAAATGGATGCAGTGCAGTCATCTGGTTTTGAGGAATAAAGGCACCCATCCCAATTATGGGAGATGGAACAACAGCGATGCCAGCAGCATTTTCAGCCTAGAAGCAAATGAACCAAATGAATTTAAGATCTCAAAAATGTCGGTTTAAAAGTTAAACATCAAAGTCTTAAAGATTTGGGTTTTTTCCTCAAAACCACCTTAAAGATAGGGTCATTATTCAGAAACCACCTTTCTTTTTCAATTTATACATAAACCACTTCTAAAGTGGGTTTTTATTCCAATCAACTACCTCCCAGTCAAAATTTTCACTAAAAATCCAAAAATACCTTTAGAAAACGCACGTTCATGACATGTTACTCACTTTGGTATTGTTTAGGCCTACTTAGGAAACAAATTGCGTCTTAAATGTGCATTTTTTAACTTATTTTTGGTTTTTTAATGAAAATTTGACTAGAAAGTGATTGATTGGAGCAAAAACCTACTTTTAACGGTGGTTTACATATAAATTAAAAATGAAAGGTGGTGTCTGTATAATGAACCTATGTTTAAGGTGGTTTCCAGGAAGAAAAAACCTAAAGATTTCGCAAATCCCTAACGAATTTATACAATACTATCAGCAATAAGATTGGCAAAATGCATACTGCTTCAGAACAGCAGCACGATGAGAGGAGATACTAACCCATAGAATCTTTTTGCACGAATAAAAAATAAAAGCAACTACAGAAACAAATCCAAAAAGTAAAGTCTACTCAAGTTTCACTAATCAATACATTACATCTGAAAGTAGGTCATTCAGATGGAAACACGGCAAGACAATCTGCTTAACCTGGGGCCTGTTTGGCAACCCAGTAAAACTAAGCTAGGTTCAAATCTGGCCCAAATTTAGCGTTGCGGGAAAAGTTAAGCCAGAACTGGCCCAACTTTTCCTCTTTCTTTTTTGGTCCCTTAACCAGGCCAGAATTGGTCCATTCCCTACCCTATCAATCCTGGCCTGGTTAAGATATAAACCAAAGGCTGGCCTTATTTAGCATGTTGCCAAACAAAGCCTTAAGGTAGCATCCTAGTACTATATAATCTTCAAGGCAAATTAAAGTATTGCCTGCCACAAGCATCAACTCATAGAAATATATTGCGCTTTACTAGAAGGTAATGTGAAAACCACTCGGTAAGGTGGGCATAATAGTGCAAATGGTAGCATTGAACTTGCAGGGATCCCAGGTTAAATAGATGTCTGAACAATTTGATTGGAAATGTAATTAAATAAAATCTGAAATACCTATCAACAAGACTTCAAACCAAGGAGTACTCACCAAAGACTAGTTTACTTACAAGACAGACATAGATACAGCCACCAGCTTAATGGATGAGCCAAGCACCTTTGTCCAATACACCAACACTAACATTTTCAGAAAAGATGACAGACAAAAGCTTATAATCCCATTTTTCAAGGGAAATCTGTTCATAGTCCCACCTCTGTCTGTCTTACATCCAAAGGACCGGAATTCTATACATTGCTTAATTTTGTACCATTCCTCCAACTGTACCTCCCAGTCCCTTAGATAATAAGCTATCTGAACTAACAGTAATAATTCTGTATCCCATATTTGTAGATCTAAATTCCCATACTAGTTAACCAAAACATCAAGAGCCTAACCTTGGAGAAACTAAATCAAGTAACATAAGGTATTCTCAACTAATTTCCACATCTTTCGCAGCCAGAAATGAGCATATGTACAAACTCTTTTTGGAAAATCAGACCCAAAAAACCAACATTCCACAGCTAATATTATTGAAAATTTTCAAAACTATAAAAAAATTTACACTACCTTTGATGTTGCATCAGAAGATGAAGTATAAGGATGACCCTCAAGATTTCCATTAGACATGAAGCTCAAGTTACCATTTGAGACACCAGCATCATTTGCATTGATTTGGTTACCCTTGGTTTGAATATAAGAAGATGAATCTGTAGAGTTTTGACGAGTAACTTCTGGATCCTCTTTACATATTCCATTTCGTTCCCTCACCTCAGCCAGCTCTAGTTGAAGCTGCTGTATAGTTTGCAGATGATGCCGCTCCACTTCTGCAAACTAACATCAGAGCATCCAATAACAATAAGATACCAAACAGCACTGCAGAGTTTTAACTCTGATGTGTAATACATACGAGGAACCAACAGATTTAAATGCTCGTTATTAAAGCAGCATTAAATTCTTACAATCAATTAAAAGAGAAAATAATTAAAAAGGTGCCCAAAAAATCAACCAACCTGCCGTTGTAAACCAATCCAATATTGGTTAAACTGTTCAGTACGTTCTTGGAGTTCAGCTTGCATTTTTGTTGATTGCAAAGCATCCATTTCCTGAACCCGAGCAATCCAAGTCTGCGCATTCCTCAAGTGTTCGTCCTTGATAAGAATACTTTCCTGTACAGCTCTATGCTGAAAACAGGTAACTATTAGACATGACATCTCAACTGTGAATACATTCAAATACTTTAACAAGGTAACATAAGACCATAAAGGAATTTAGTGGAACACTCCAATCAAAATAACAGGAAAAAAAAAGTAATGGAATAACATAAATGCTAATTAAAATAAAAAAATTAGAAAATAGATGATAACAACAAATTTCAATAAAGATTGCCAGTAACTTAGTTCGGTAGAGGACTAAATTCAATAATCATCAATTCCAATTATTACAAATTCACAACTCATCCACCAGTACCATAGTATTTAATTGCAATGCTTCTACATCCACCACCTATTAAAAAGGAGTAACTGGCTCAATGCCCTGAGTTCCACTTCTCAGGGAATGGGTAGACTAGTTAATTTTTTTAACGAGACATAATCATCTCAACGGAAATTAGAGAATATTCCATTTTTATTCCTTGACAGTAACTATGAGGGGGTATAATTTGTGATCTCATCAAAATTAGATTGGCGAATATGAAGATCAGAAAGGTATTTATATACCAAATATTTGGTGGCATACAAGTGAAAACCCCAAAATAAGATACCATAAAGAAACCAAACAGTTAACAGACCATCAAAGGAAAATGTAATAGCAAAATGTAACAGTACAACTCATGTCAAATAGGATCAGAAGCTAACCCACTAATTTGTTTTAGAAGGGAAATTCAACATTGTATACGGGCAGGCACCACAATGTAGCTGCATAAGTACCATAGCCAACATGGAAAAGTAAGTCTCTGGATGCATGATGGTCGCTCGCAATGCAGGTTACTCTAATACAAACTATTGGATTGTTAATGAAGTCCGACCAAGATTTTTAATGTGAGCCTAGTTTGAGTGGATGGTGAGTTTCCTTTCAATGCAAGCAAGAGAGACCCTGAAAACAATATGTAATTATATGCACACATGCTTTTGATGAAACATTCAATCAACATGATTTAAAGCACATGCAGCTTAGCAAATCAGCGAAGCATCTACAGCTAGCGCACAGGTTAAATACCATTAATGATGTGACATGACATCAGCAGCTAGAACAAAAGTTTAAATTAAATATAACAAAACAGCTAGCATTAAAAGTATAATTAGATGATGTCCAAGTATACATGGCAATAATAAGAAAAGGAAGCAAACATGCATGCTAACGGATCATCAAATTAATTACGCACACACCGGACAGAGCAATGGAGAAAGGGAAGCATGTTGAAGGGGTGGCAATGGGCAACTCACCTGCTCCTCCACTGCAAGAATCTGGCTGTCCTTTTCTTGGATAAGCTCTTGAAGCTCATGGATTTGTTTCAGAAGTTGGGATCTTTCTACTTCTGAGTTATCACGCTCTCTTCTGCAACGGAAAAAAATGTGGCACAAATAAAACCACATTACAAATTAGAAGGTTTGATCACAATAAATTAGCAGAGCATGGTATACACATAACTATGTTATACATAGCTAAAAACTAATAGAAGCATCTTGGTATATATTTAACTTAGCATCTTTTTGAACTCGTATATTTTCAATCAAGCTCTGTAAGATTAAGCTCTATCCATTTACATTTCAGTGGGTCCAAACTTACAATGTTGACTTATATATATATATATATATATAGAGAGAGAGAGAGAGAGAAGTGTTCCTAAGGTGACGCCTTAGATAATCATTTAAGGACGCGGCCTAAAATCACATGATTGAGCTACATTCTGGATGATCCGCTACATTGAACTTGATCTACATATTCTAAAACCCCAACACACCAAGTTTGGGGTGAACTCATCGTCGTTTGACCCTCCGTCGAGCCATGTAAAAAGTACTATTCATTCGAAACCGTTGAAATTGATACGAGTGGATGAAGGGTCAAACGACGACATCTTATTCAAAACATCGTCAACTGTATACGGTAAAATTTTCACATAGTTTTGTGTCTTCTAGAATATGAATCAAACTAGAATGTGAATCAAACTAGTTTAAAATTGGACTTTTCTGATAGCTTAACAGTCGTCCCTCTTGCACATAGCTAAAATAAATATTAAAAAGTTCTAAATGATATATTTTTTCTACATATAGATTATGTGTGCAAAACAGGATGGACGATGTCGATCATCGTATCAGGTAGCCTATTGCGCTAGCTCACGATAAGAATCTCACTTGACCATCTCATTTTATCATTTTCCTATACATATACATATACACACACATACATACACACACATATACAAAGAGAGAGGAATATGTGCATCCTTAGTACCAAGGACCAATTTTGGTCCTTCGTAGTGAGGTGGTTCATTCTCATCCACTCATTTTCAAGAAGCCACTCATTTTCAAGAAGGGGACCATTTTCAAGCAGGGATCATTCACATAAGTCGATTAGAATGAACCATCTCACTACCAATGACCAAATCTGTTCTTGATACCAAGGATACTCTTTTCCTTTGCGTGGCTATGTGTGCGCAGCAGCGCGGCACACTATCATATATATAATATATATATATATATATATATATATATAAATATATAATATATATATATATATATATTATGTACTACCTATATACAATATATAATTATTGATAGGTATGAAGGCGGCAGCTCGTTATAGTAAATGGCTACCAGAGAGAGATTGGTGAGACCTACACACCTTTTGATGTGACAAATAGGTTGCGCTCGCCACATGCTATCTCTTGGTAGCTCATTTTACTAAATGAGCCGACCACATAAAAAAAAAACAAATGAATCATTATAAATATATTATATATATAGTATATATATTATATATATATACATAGAGAGAGAGAGAGAAGAGAAGGGATAAATATTTAAGTGTTTACAAAGTTCTAATGAAGTTCTAATGCTTGATGGTTGAAGACTTGATGATGATAAAAACAAGTTAAATTCTAAGTCTAGTGAAAAGATAAACCCGACTCAAAAATCATAAAATAAAACTACGTTGTAACTTCAGTAATATGTGAGACGCACTAGCACGGCTGCACTTAGGGGTGTTAACGAAGCGGATACGGCTCGGATATGACACTTATCATATCCATATCTGTTTACCCATCTCGGATACGGATATGGATACAGATATACGTCGGTAAGAAAAATTCATATCCATATCAGCCAAAATCGGATATGGTTACGGATATAGATACGGATATATAAACGGATATGCATGCGGATACAAAAAGAATATTAGAAAACTAGATAGTATTCTGAAAAATATAGTCATGTGATACAAAAAGAGTTCGGTAATATGTTCATTATGATTGGAAAGCTAAGATTAGACAACTTGATCATCAAAATTAATCACAAATCCATAATCTAAGACTCGAAACTATCGTAAGAGTATGACCAATATGTATTCGGATATTTTCGGATACGGATACAAATATTTCACTACAAAACCATATCTGTAACCATATCCTATCGGTTATAGATTTGAGTAACCATATTCATATCCTAACGGATACGGTTACGGATATTTCCTCGGATACGGATACGGTTTGGCACCCCTAGCTGCACTTCATCATAACTATTATTGTAAGTCAAAATGGAAAAAGTCTTCAAATATCACAATAGGTTGATAAAATAAAGGACTTCTGTTAAGCCTCAGGAATTAGTCAGATTTAACAAGAATTCAGGAACCAAGGACATAAAGGGAATATCCCTATCAATAAAGGAACACTTAGCTATGGACATCGAGTATCAAGAAGAATATATCCATCAGAATAGGCTAACATGCATCGTTTTGGAAGTGATTCTAGAGTTCACTGGTTATGAAATTTCATGCTTTAAATAACCATAACACAGATCATAATATCATTATGGAATGGGTGCTCATAATGTACATGCATTGTATGGATAGAAAAGTAAACATTACTAATATTGTGTTTCACCAGGCTCAGAAGCTGAAGAATAATTACAAAAATGAAGCCTTTATCCATTGTACGGACAGGAAATTTGATAATGCATGAATAGTTTTTTCTAAGACTCGTGGCTATAGAAAATTAGAAATGAAAATCAGTAATCAGAAGGACATAAGGATAAACCAAGATTAGGAAGCAAAATTAGTCAAAATGCTTGCAATCAAACAAATATGATGACAAGAATCAATCCATAGGTCACAGGAAAAGAAGACAAAGGTCAGATAATATTTACTGGAAGCACAAAAGAAATTAGAAAAACATGCTATTTCATTATTGTTAGCAAAATACCCACATACCTGAAGGTTGCCAATTCTTTGTTCTGTTCCCTAAGAAGATCATCTTTAGCCCAAGCCTGATGAAACAAAAAATAAGATATGATATATAATTCTTCAGAACAAACTTCCCATTCACTTAGAACTACAAAAGATTTAAGGCCAAAACAAACCGCTTCATTGTCGAGTTTGACGGCACGTAGCTCCCTATCCTTCTCTTCCAACTTCATCTCTAGCTCTTCTATATGTCGTTCTTTCTCCTTTAGTTGCTCCTGCACAATCAAGAACAAGAAAATGGATAAAAGTGAGAAAGATAAAAATCCTGAGTGTTGGAAAGAGAACAAGTAAAAACTATTCACATATGAAGAAAGCAGCGACCACAAATACTAAGTTCAATAAAATATTAAAGAAACTATATCAATTGCAGTGAGAAGTGCTATGATGGTGAATAGTAGGGTCGTTTAGATTTCATGACGCACAAAATTGAGAAAAGTTATAGGAGTGGAAAGGAAAATGTAACAGTAAGAGAGAATTTGAGCAATGACTACATTACCAATATCCACATATGGACAAGTGAGATACTTGAAGGTACTCATGTTCCTTCCATTGAAGTAAAACCCTTAATCTTAAATACGACCAAGAAAGAACATTATCTAAGTAAAAGCTACTCAAGAATTGAATGTAAAACATGCATCATATGGTTAACAGATTTGATACCACTTCAACCATCCAAAAAATTGCAAAAGTGTCAGTCACATTCTAGATTTTTTTTTTCTTTTTTTTAAACCAAGGCATAGCCAAGACTTGAACCCTGAACTTCAAGTACCCAATTCCATTCCTTTCACCTCCGAACAAGACTTAGTCATTTCTGAAACTGAATTTAGAGTCTTAGACCCAGTATCTAAATGTACAAAGTTAGTAATTAAGGAACCAAAGTTCTAGAAGACAAAGAAGCATGTGTATCTTATCAAGAACGACAAAGATGGCAGGCAATGAAAACATAGCTTTGCATTGAACTTGAGCCTCGTACGGTATGTGGGAATAGAGTCAAGTGAGAATGGAATGAACTAAGGAATGGAATGGATTAAGTGGGAGAATGGAATGTTCAGTCCCATTCTCACATTTGGGCGCAATTAGAGAATGAAGTGAGGATGACAATCTTTTTTATTTTTGCTAGGGATAACAAGTAAGCAATCAAGGCATTATTTCAAAATTTTGATTCCCACTCAAGTGGGAATGCCCATTCCCGACCATCTCACTGGGAACACTCAATACCACATTGGGAATGCTCATTCCCACATAATGTGGGAATGAGTGAGACATGGGAATGGGCATTCCAACTTCTAAAAAGGTGTTGTGTTCAGTACCCATGAATGAGAAGTGGGAATGAGCATTCCATTCCCACCCATTCTCGCATACCAAACAAGGCGTTAGAGTCCGTAATTTTAATCCTCAAAGAAACTTAACAATAGTATACATCAGACGTTGCTCAAGATAATTACCAGATACCAATACCTAAAAACATTCTCATATAAATGTAGTTATAATATTAAACATCCAGCTAATTTAATAAACTTGCCTGCATTCAATCATCAAGCAGTTCAATATATGGATATAGATAGTATCACCGTTAATCTTTCACTCTACAAAACATGCAAAACTTAACAGTTCTATAATAACAGAAAACCTTGAGTTGAGAAGCTGCATCTGAGTGCTCCTTGATCCGTGCCTGGCAACAGTTTTGCAACTCCAAGATCTCCGCCCTCGCAATGGCCTGCGCCCTAAGCTCAATCTCAACATGCTGCAACTCTTCCCTCTGTTTCATAATCTCCTGAAGCTTACTTTGCAGTATCTCGTCGCTCAACCCTCCACTGCCATCTATTGTGATTGAACAGAAGTCTGCACTGAACCGACCTGATCCCTCCTGCACCTTTAACAAAAACACATCAATTCCCAAATTAAACTAATGAAAGTTCAAAAAAATTTAGGCAATTTACAAGAAACCTCCTTCATCTATACCCAGGTTCTCAAGAAAACCCCTCATCTATTAAGTTCAAAAAAGAACACTAATTTATGACTGAAACTATTAAGTTGAAAGGAATAAAATAGAGAATGATGCTAGTTTTTCGAAAAAGTAACATTTATTATCACCAACCTACAATTCTGCAGTCAAAGACTCAAATGCTACTCAGACGTCTAAAGAACCAAACTTCACTAAAATAACTAGCTTTTTCATTAATAATCTCTTGTGACCAAGGTTTTTGTTAAAAATTTTCTATAAAACAGCAGGTGACCTAAAATCTTTTCAGAGCATTGATTCATAGTGGCCGAACAAAGAATTTCAGTTAAGGGATTCTAGGAAAAAAAGTTAAATAACTAAAGACAATAATGTTTTTTTGCGCGATTGATTAGTACCTAAATATCATTATGTAACAAGAATTTCAAAATCAAATTTCAAATTAGAATATAGAGTTTACAATAACATTATTCTTTCTTTAATTTCTTAAAGTCGTTTCATCATATCCTCCTCATGAATGAAAAAAATTATATCATCTCGAATATAAGGCACCATGCAATCATCCATATACTCAGACCCAGCAGTAGAAGATATTAACTTCTTCCAATAAAGTAGTTCCATGATTGAAAAACCTCACTCGGTTTCTTTTAAAAATCATTCCATGATTGAAAATGAAAATAAACCAAACACCCACAATGAATGCTATCCTACTAGTTAATAGTTATCCTCTTGTGAAATTTTACAACGAGATGTTAAATTCAAAAAACTTAACACCCAGATATTATCAAGAAAAAAAGCAAAAAGCTCCAATCCTTTAAGAAATTTTAGGCAAATAGAATGGAAAAAATATGAACAAAATTTCAACATTACAAGCATAGACCTGGAACCAATTGTAAATGTTAAGAGAAGAAACTCAAGCCTGTGAACCCAAATCTTGCAAACTTTCAACTTAGAAACATTTTACCCAATAACCCCTATAATTTTTTAAATTTCAAGGGGCGTCCATGGAACCATTGGGCTCAATGTAGCTCCGCCCTACCTCGTATATAGTTCTCTCATCAGATTGCCCCAGCCTAGAATGCTCCTGATGATGATCCTGCAGAAGATCAACTCACAGCTTAGCCAAAGAAATCTAGGGTCTGTAAAGAGAGAGATTCGAAAGTTGACCTCGGGTACCGCGCGCCATTCCTTTCTTGGAGGCTGAGAGGAGGAGGAGGGAACGGGAAGGGAACCGCCGCGGCCAGCGGAAGCCTCCATTGCGATTTGGGAGAAGGATCCCTAGGGTTTCTCCAGCTCTCAGTAGAATTAGGGTTTTGAGAGGAGCAGATCGGGGAAAACCCTAGATTGGTAGAGAATGGGGGCTTAGAGTTTCTAGGGTTTAGTAGAGGGCGACGATTTCAGGGGATAAGAGTGGGAGATTCCGCCGTCGCCCCCCTTTCGTCGGAGGATCGAGAGATCGAGAGGGGGATTTTGATGAAGAGGAGTTGGGTTTGGAGTTAGCGGGTTCGGAGGAGGAGAAAGAAATTGAGGAAACAGTAGTAGCAAGTGAAATTTTAGGCATTTTAATAGGGTTATTTTCACCAATTCCCCCAAAACTTTGACCCATTTGCGAGGAAATTCCACGTACCTTGTTTATCGCTAAGCCCACATAACTAATAACTTTACCAACACCCCCCAACACCCCCCACCCCCTCCCCCACCCCCCCAACAACAACAAAAAAAAAACCAAAAACCCCTCTTCCCAAAAATAAACAAAATTTTCCCAATATAGTGTCTTTTCTCTTTCAAAAATTTATATATTGTATATTTTATGTTTAATCGTTACATGTAATATTAGAAAATTATGAAATGTTAGATTAGTTTCTCAAGATGGTTTCGTCATCCAAAGTCACTCACTGAAGAAACTTTCTTGTGATTTCAATAGCCATAACACAGATTTTACAACTTTATTTACTCATGAATAGAAATTGTGGTTGAAGGAAGGTTAGAGTTGGGTGGGTGGGGTGGGTTCGTGGAAAAAGTTAAGAGAGTTTAGTGGAAAAACGAAGTTCAAGAAGGTTTGTGTTAAATGATCCAAAGTTATGGGGTTTTGTGATATTTACCCTTCATAATAAGGGCTTGGTCTGAAATATGTACTCCATATTATTGCTATTAGGGCTACTTTTACTTAAATAACCCCCCCACCAAAAAAAACAACAACATCTACCCCAACTTTTCTTTTTTTCAAAAAAGTACTCCCAAGTTCAATAAAATTTAATTTGATATACAAAAGCTATTTTTAACCTGAAAAATATTCCAAAGTTCAATAAATTTTAATTTAGTACCTCCATTAATTGAATAACCGAAAGTGGGTACAAAGAGCAATTTTAGTCTAACTCTTGTAACTTAGGGGGCTTATTCATTGGTGTATTTTTAGAATAAAGAGCATAAATTTGAGGACATTATTTTTTAGTATTATTCATTAGGATATTAGAACTGGGACTTTCACTTTGAGTGTTATTGGCTTGTTAGAATACTTGTGGGATAATTATCACTTTAGGTGTTACGGTAATATAAGAGCAAGTGGGATAATTTAGGAACACTCATATATTAACTAACTAATACATGTTAATTATAGTAAATACTTAAAATAATAAAATAATATATGTAAATAAATATAAATAATTTAAATATTTTACAAATATTAAACTTATATATACCATATTAATTATAATATAATAATCTATTTTCTAGATTAATATTAAAATATACTATATTGCAATACATTCTATTATAATATTATTTTCTTATCTAATAAGTTATAACATGATACGTTATAAAATAATATTTTATTTTTATAATATTATATTAAACAAATTCTATTGTTAATATATTATATTATAATAGTATTATATTAATTTTGATTTAATTATTTATATTATATTATTATTTTCTTATCTAATAAGTTATAACATGATACGTTATAAAATAATATTTTATTTTTATAATATTATATTAAACAAATTCTATTGTTAATATATTATATTATAATAGTATTATATTAATTTTGATTTAATTATTTATATTATATTATTT